TGTTTTTTATTATTGTCGTTAGTTATTATCTCAATTTCGGCTAAAAGAATTGACAAAATCCTACACACTGTGCCTTTAAAGGAACAATAAATAAATAAATAAGCACTTAACTATGTCCGATTAGCAACCCTACCAGGTACAGTACTGCAGTGGTTCCATGTAAACGGGTGATTGTTTTTGTGTATTCACCCCAGTAAACATTAGCATTTCCAGAGACTGGTCCCGTGTAAACAGGGCTTTAAGTAAAACTAAAAAATGTGCAGCATAGGTCTTAATCAAGAACTCTTTAAATTGCTTCAATTTAAAGGAGAATGAAAATTTAATTTTAACTTCGGGTGTTTATTCTCTCCTCTCATTTCTGATCCCAGATATGTCCACCAGCGCTGTCGACCCAGACACCATTTTTGCCAACAACGAGATTAGCCTGCGAGACATAGAGATATACGGCTTCGACTATGACTACACCCTGGCCTTTTACTCCAGCCAGCTCCACACGCTCATCTTCAACATAGCACGAGACATCCTCATCTCCAAGCACAGGGTCTGTTTTCTTATAACAAATCAAATACGGTTGTGTTCTCAGTGTGAAAGCATTAAACTAATCATTGATGTTCTTTTGTTATCAGTATCCAGAGGGTCTTCGGGAATACGAGTATATTCCAGATTTTGCTGTAAGGGGACTTCATTATGACGTCCAGAAGGTGAGATGTTTTTGTTTATTTGTTTTCTTAAGATTTCATATTGCATATGGTTTAGTTCAAACACAAAGCAGGTTCATCACATATCTTTATGATTTGTGCTAGGCACTGCTGATGAAGATAGATGCTTTTCACTATATCCAGCTGGGAACTGTGTACAGGTGTTTAAGAACTTTATTTCTTCCTTTATAAGGGCAACGAATTGGCAAACTTCACTCCGAGCCGTTTCTTTTTTAATGTTGCAGCAAAGGTTTTTATATTAAAACGTGTACTGCAGATAAATAGGCTGCATCTGCTGCACATAAAACACTACAAGTGTTGTCATTAACTAATCGTTTAGAGTATTTTCTGTTTGTGATGCAGAGGTCTTCATCCGGTTCCTGATGAGGAAGTAATTGCCATGTATGAAGGCAGCCATGTGCCTCTGGAGATAATGAGTGACTTCTATGGCAAGGTGCTGATCTCTTTCACACTTGTTTGTAGTAAATTAGACATTAAAGTGACAACTGATTGTGTCTGTCCTGCAGAGCATACATGGCCACACAATGAAGCAGTTCATGGACATCTTCTCCCTCCCGGAGATGACCCTCCTTTCTTGTGTCAACGACTTCTTCATGAGAAACAACATCGACTACGAGCCAGTCCACCTCTACAAAGACGTAAAGGTTAACGCACTTTCTTGTCATTGCAGCCCCCTCCTTTTCCTTCCAAAGAACCAGGGTGTGTGAAAAAAAAAATCATGAGTATTTATGTATTTACATGTTGCAGTGTACAGCACAACTCTAGCCATTCAAGACCATTTTAATTTTAGCACTGAAAAGCAGTGTCTAATTTTAGTCGTGCATTCTCGCCCCCAGCCATGTGACTCTGCTACTTCACAGGAAGTGGTGAGAAATGTGCGCTGCGTTCTCCCCCTGAGGCCAGCTGTCACACTGTTACTGTCTCTACTGTGTGGAGCTGCGGCACGTTTGACAGATAGCTGTCATTAAAAGCCCTCACACATGCACTGTTTGAAGAATGACTCTCATATCTTTCCAAGGACGCTGTCTTTAATCATTCATTTCGTCTCCCCTGCTTCATAACTCAGTATTGACCATAGCATTTTCAAAACCCTTTGTTCCCTTTATATTTTCATTGCGTCAGATGGACTTTGGGTACGCTGAAGGTCTTAAGTCTGTCCTAAACGTGGAGGTTTTAAACAAGGAGTCTTGATTCAAAGGTTCTCCTACTGTGACAGCAACGCATCTTGCCTCCTGCTTTCTCCCTGTTTCATTTGTATTCAGAGAGGCACTTTCCTTGTGCCTCCAAGACAACTGTTTATGTACAGAGTAAAGTTGCTGTCAGAGCTGAATGCTAATAGTGTGTCACGGGTGTCATGACTTTTTGGCTGAGGGCTGTTTTACTTCTCCTCCTCCCAGGAAGCTATCCGAGATGTTCACGTCAAAGGCATCATGTATCGAGCAGTGGAGGCCGATATGGGTAACAGCCTTTTGAAAAACATCTCATATGTATGATGACATCTGAGTTATTGGCTAAGCATGAAAACAGAATAAAGGCCCGATGAGGTTATGACACACACGCACGCACGCGCACACACGCACATGTTTGCACAGCTATCCATTTGGGGATATTCCACTGACTTCCATTACATTTCTACAGCCTAACCCTGACTACAAACCCTAAGGCTAACCTCACTGCTATCTACCTGACCCTAAAACTAACCTAAACTCAATTCACATCTGGTCCTAAACCCAACCTCCAACCCACCAATGGCATTTAAACCAAATGGGGACTCGACTTTTGTCCCCAAATGCACCAGTTGTCCCCAAAGATAGGCATTTTGTCTTAAAATTGCCCTCAAATGTCACCAGAAACACACACACACACACACACACACACACACACACACACACACACACACACACACACACACACACACACACACACACACACACACACACACGCGCGCACGCACGCACGCACGCACGCACGCACGCACACACACACACAAATAAAAATAAAACTGACCCACAACCCTCCTGTCAATCTCTTTCCAGAGAAATACATTTGCTATGGTGAGGAAAGCCAAGCTGTGCTAAAGAAGCTGTCAGCTCATGGAAAGAAGATGTTCCTAATCACCAACAGCCCCTTTGACTTTGTGTAAGTGAGCACCAATACAGAGTTTGCTGGAAAGAATATTTTATTATTTTGACATGTTTGTGTGCTGATGTTAATTTAGCATCTAGGCAAATTGTATGATGGAGTATTAGGGCCACAAGTTGTTTTACATTTTTTTTATTATGAGTACAAAGTCATAATAATATGAGAAAAAAGTCGTAGTATTACAAGAATAAAGTCAAAATTATGAGAAAAAGTTATAATATCACAAGAATAAAATCATAATGTCAAAAGAATAAAGTCATAATCATAATAATCACAGTCATAATAATAAATACATCATCATCACATGACACTAATTGCAGTATCTGTGATGTGGAAAATAAGTGTTCACAGTTTTACTGATGATTAATTGCACACGATACGATTTTGCCCAACCCCATCAGTGTCACAGGATAATGTTCCGATTCTTATAAATTAGCCAGCATGCACCATAGGTTTCATATTTGCAGATCTGTACAGTAAGTCATCGACTGTGGAGCCTGTTGAAGTCACAGTAGCTTGCACAGATCGACCAGCTCAAAAATCGAACATCAGAAGATTTCCTGGTGCCTGAAATGACATTTGTGTTTGTGATATTGAGTCTTCTCGTTAATAAGGAAAGGTTGCGCACAGGCCGAAATCACCTGTTTCTGTTTAAACTAACTGGTAGATTGATCAGTATTTCAGAGCATGAATTTTAAAAATGTGTGCTGGAAATAGTGAACGAACATTTGTGTGGCTGGAAGGGGTTCAGGAAGGACAGCAGGTTGTTCACTAATTGGATTGTTGGCAGTTTGATCCCAGTGCTGAAATGCTAATTACTTCTAATGCATCATCAATGTGTGAATGTCTGGAAAAGCACTTTATGCAAATAGTGAAGTGCTATGACTGTGTCATTGTGACTGTAAAGTGCTCTGAGCAGATAATGAGACTGCAAAAATTCTATATGCATCTAATCATTTTTTATTTAGCTAGTTTGTATCTAACTTTTGATTTGAAAGCTATCCTCTATCTTCACTAACTAATATTAAGGGATGTGACTGAAAGACATTACGGTGTTTCTGAGATTTATTTTTTGTTGTTGAATATGCAGAGGTGCTGTGCATTACTGGTGTAACATAGTGTCTTTGTTCTCCTCAGGGACCGCGGAATGAGCTACATCGTGGGAAAGGACTGGAGGGACCTGTTCGACGTTGTTATTGTCCAAGCAGACAAACCTAGTTTCTTCAATGACAGGCGGAAGTCAGTATATTTTAATATGTAACTCATAATATATTCTTGTTAAAGGCACAGTGTGTAGGATTTTGTCAATTCTTTTAGCCGAAATTGAGATAATCACTAATGAAAATAATAAAAAAACATGTCTAATCATTGCAGACAAAGACCTTGTTTTATTATTTTTACCTTATAAAAAGCTGTTTATATCTCCATGGTCGCGGGTCGCCGCTACAGGCAGCCGCCATCTTGCACCGCCATCTTGTCTACGAAGGCTCATGAAGGACAAACTGAGGTGGTGGCGTCAAAAACGGTTTTAGTTGTAATACTATAAATGTAATATTTGTTGTCTGTCATTGTAGCTGGGATAATTTGACTTATTAAAGCTCATAATCTTACCACTTGAAACATCACTAGCCCTGAAGCTGCTGGTAGACATCGCGGTTGGAATTATCAAAGGTTTTTGACACCTGAGAGACACCGTAGCTACTCCTTTGCGTTTGGAAGCGGGGGGTGGGGGTCGGGGGAGGACCAGGGAGGATGATTCAACCACTCAACCACTAGATGTCACTGAAAACAACAAATCCTACACACTGTGCCTTTAAGGCTTGTGCCTCGCTGCAATGCTTGCAACTACTTGTAGATTTGAGGATATAGCACTCGCCAATAGATTGTGCAGATCATAATCTAGATTGTTTTATAAAATATTTTTTTCAAAGTTTGTTCGAAACTATTCACATGTTTGTTCAATTTTCAACATAAGATGTTTTTAGTTTAAAATTCTGTCATGAAACACTGCAGATAAAATGCAATCAATCATGTGGGAGTTTTGGGGGTGCTGCGTGAGGGTGGGTGGGTGCTAGGGTCAAATTTAAGACCTATCCCATTCCTGTATAACCAAGATAAGAGCTTTGTCTGCATCAAAGTCAAGCTTGTTCACAATGTAGATTGGACTTCGCCAGGTTTGCCCCTCGGGTCTCTTCAGAATGTCAGTGTCCTTTAGCATGCACTGGGGCGTTTCACAGCCAAATGTGGAGAGACTAAGATGAGTCGGCTCCTCTAAAGTCTGATTTATATCAACAAGAAGGGTAACTCTTTTGACAAAAATTGCCTGACAAAAATGTAGTAGTTTGCAACTCTTACCACCTGCTGAGCCCACGTCTTGTGCATCTCCCCCCATAACTAGTCCTCAACTATGCGTCATGTACTGTGTGATTGGTCAGAATTTTGTGGGTCTGTTTCTTAATGTAAAGTCTTTGCTTTCGTCTGCCAAGGTGAATTAGTTGAGTCCAAAGGCTCTCGGTTTACCAAACCTTCTACATTCTAATCCTCACATATGGCTCTAAAGTAATGATCATGACCAACAGAACAATAATCTGGACACAAGCGGCTGAAATGAGCTTCCTCCACACGGTGACTGGGCTCAGCTTTATAGAGAAAAGACGTAGAGCTTCAACATCCAGGAGGAGCTCAGAGTAGAGATGCTGCTCCTTCATATTGAAAAGAGTCAGCAGACTTGGTTCAGGCATCTTTGTCGTCTCCCTGTGCAGGTATTCCAGGCACTTTGTGGGAACACCATGGTATCCTTCAGGAGTGCTGTTGGGAACAAGGGAGTTTAGTTTTTTTTTTCCTGGGCCTGTTGCCTCTGCAACTCGACAACCCCACATTTAGCTAGAGGGGTGTCAGGGCGTCATAACAATGCCCTGTTCAATTTTACGATGCCCTCTTTTAGCTGGCAACGCCTCTGCACCATGATCTTCAGGTCCACCAAGAGACATTTTTTTACTCTACGTAAATTTCGTAAACTACATAAGCAATTTATGAAGTCACATAAAGAATAAACTGCGTCAGCTTGGATAGAGGAGGGTAATGATTTTACAGCTGCAGTAGCTGGTGTTTTTTTTACCATCTCCAGTCCTGGTCAGTTCATAACTCTTTTTACCTACGTAAATTTCCTAATTTCACGTAAACGTTGTAAGCGTGGGTTTGAGGGATCTAAAGTCGACACCCTCTACCAAAATCCTACATTAAGGCCTGGTGACAACAAGCAGCAGAAAATGAATGGATGGATATTAGGAATGCGCGATATAAATGATATACGGTAGAAACGATATAAATTTGTCCTATGATAGAGATCTGTTGTCTACCGGCCAACCGCGCAATTCTTTTTGATGATGTAACCAGCTGGAGTCAAAACAGAGGAAGCAGGAAGCAGCCTGGCTGAGAGCGCAAATGAAGAGGGGGAAAAAACTTATCCGGACCTGGTTCAGATGTGTGAAAATGAACGCCGAACTGTTTACATATTTACGTGACGGCGCGTCCTCCGGTCGGATGCCGACCGACCACACTGCCTGCAGTGGGAGGAGCGCGCGCCGCTGCATGTGTGAAGGGCTCGACACACGGGAGGCGACGTCGCTCGCTCTCCATTCATTTCCACGCAGCGAGGCGACTGTCAGTGCAGGTGAAGTCAGTGCTCAGGTGGGACGCACAAAAATCAGTCTGGACCTCGTTTCTCCTGCGGTCGTAGCGCGACGACGCACGGCCGAATGCGCGTGCACTCTGCTCGCACTCCAAAGCACGACTATAATGATTGTCACCCCGCTGGAGCGCACACAGATTAAACAGGTGGAGGGCAGAAAAAATAATCTGCAAAGTGTGTAGAAAGGAATAAATACAAACAATTTGTTTTACCACCTTAAAACGAAGCAGGTTATTCCAAACACAACATCCAATGGATGCAGATATCTGTTACATTAAAGTTATTGTTTGTGTGTGTGTGTGTGTGTGTGTGTGTGTGTGTGTGTGTGTGTGTGTGTGTGTGTGTGTGAGAGAGAGAGAGAGATTTTATATATATATATATATATATATATATATATATATATTTTAACCAGGTAGATCTCCTTTAAATTTAGATTTTTATGGGAGACTTTAGTGTCTCTTTAAAAAAGAGATTTTAAGGTCAAATTTTTTTACCTAGACTAGTTTATTCCACTCAATTGTGTGATTTATTTATTTTCTATTATAAGTTTTATATCGTGATATACTGTATATCGTTACCGCCACTCATCATAATGTATATCGTGATATGAATTTTTTGCCATATCGCACATTCCTAATGGATATTATAAGATGCTAAAGTTAGCTGTCTGTGTATGTGTGATAGACCTTTCAGGCGAGTGACAGACAAAGGGGCTTTACTGTGGGACAGAATTTACCGTCTGGAAAAAGAGCAAATCTACAAGCAGGTACTGTGTATGTTTTTTTTAATATATATAAATTTACTGTGGCAACATGTGGATTCCTGTGTTTTAAATTGTTTGTTTCATCTGCAGGGAAACCTCTATGAGTTCCTCAAACTCACCGGCTGGAGGGGATCCAAAGTACTTTACTTTGGAGATCACATTTATAGCGACTTGGCAGTAAGCATAATGACAAAAATGGATTTATTAAAAACTGCACAAATTACTTTTGTTTAGGTTTTGAACAAAATTGTTTTATTCACTTTAACAAATTAAATCAAAACAAAAAGAAAATCTTTAACTGAGCTCAAAGGAATGATCCTAACTGGGTTAATCTTTTCAGCAGTAAGACCCATAAGAGAAACTTGGCATATCTGCAGTTTAGAAGCAGCACCTGTGGGACAGACTGGTTCTGCAGATGAGATCCCATAAATATTCACTAATTTACAAACACAAGCACAACCAGCTCATTTTAATGATGACTAAAGCAGAGTCACAAACAAGCAATTTATCTGTTGATGATCAGGAGTCAGTATTTTACCAACACCCACAGCTTGTTTGTTTGTTGTGACACACTGCATAAACAGGAACCTGATCACCTGCTCAGGTACTTAGTCTGTTGTTTTGGCTCAGGCTATGTGTTAAATTGCATAAGACTTTGCTTCTTTGGTTAAATGTGCTCAAATATGTTATTTTTATGGCTCAAAATTACAACAAGACAAATGAGGAGGAGCCATTAACATATTGCAGTTACCTAACAGCCAAATATCACTGCAGTCTGTCTTCTGCCTCTGGGTTTCCTTTTAACAGCTTTTATTTCAGTAGGCATTTGAATAAAAAAAACTGCAATGCATCAGTTCATCCTCACAGTTCAGTCATGTTTTATGTGACCCATCATTTCGAAATGAGGATTAAGTCAAATTGACCTAATTACATTTTCAGATTCTTGGCTTTAAAAGCTACATTTTGATACTTGGATCATTCTGATATCAAAGTAAACCCATATATATGACTTAATTTGTCTTGTTGGTTACAATAATACATTACTATTTGGTCTGAATCCTAATTTTGTGTAAATTTATTGAGTAACTTTTAATGTCAATATAAAGAGGAAACGTCAAATTTTATTTGTATATTAAGTTTTCCCAGTTGGAAAAAAAAACATTGCAAACTCACAGGGAAAAATTCTAAATTTTAAGGCATTTTTTCTTAAAAATTAGTTTTTTTTGTTGCTACTTCTCAAAAACATGCTTCAAAACTATTTTTAGGATTATATTTCAGACAGATCATTCAAATGATATGTTGATAAGGCTTTAATTCATTATATTTTGACAAAATGCAATTTTTGAACATGTTTAAATCAAAACCCTATGTCTGCCCATTTCTCCACATTCCACTTTAGGACTTAATCCTCGTTTCAATGTGATGGGTCGCAAATTTGCTCTGCACTTTGTAAAGTCTCTTAAAATGTCCAAGAAACATACTGTAGTGTCGATTATTAAAACAAAAGTGATAAACAAACATAAAAAGTAGCAAAATATTGAGAAAACATGCAATACATTGTGGTTCAGGTTGTCTTAGATTTGACTCTTTCAGTAAATTAGGAACGATCCACCTTGGCTGCAGTTCTGCAAACATTTCATTTTTTTAACACATTTACACAGATGAAAAAGCTTGTTTTTTTTCTATCTCTACACACTTTCTCCAACTGCCAGCAACATGTGTGTCCCTGCACAGCTACTCGCAGCCATGTCATTTGTTAAAGTGAAGAAAAGCATTTTTTCCACCCCTTTAAAGTAAATAATGGCACAATGGGAGTGAATTGCGTTGCACAAATCTAAGCAAATAAGTGCACAATTCACTGAAAGGCCTCCCTGCACCACTTTAGTTCCTTGAAAGTAAAACATAAAAATAGCTTTCTGCAGAACTGAATGCTAAGATTGCTCCATTCACCTCCTGTTAGTTCATATTTTGCTTGGGTGGTTTTTAAATTCAGGCTATACTAACTTCATGACAGACACTGAATCCTAAGAAATCTGGATACAAATATTCCTGATCTGTTAGAGTCTGAGACGCTGAGTGAAATATGCTTGTCTGCTTAAAATATAATGATGTCTTCTAAAATAGTTCTTGTTTTGCATGAAACAAATGAAGCCCGTTAATGCTGACGCAGCTGCTGTTTTAGAAGAGAAACATCAGTGTTCTTGTAGAGTGCACCATACCTGTTGCAACACACCCTTCAGTAATTAGTATCAAAGCACATTATTTGCATTTTGATCTGTACCAGCAGCTTGTCCCTCATTTCTGCCAATTTTGTTTTTGTTTTATTTATTTTTTCATCAGAGTGTTTAAGTGCCTCTGATATCTGTATGGATATGCATGATCAGCTGTAAAGAGTTCTACTGAAAGATCAAATTTACATCTCTGGCATGGTGCCTGGTCAGTGGCCAGCAGCCACCAGTCAATGATGTTGTCTTGCTTGTTTAAAGAGATGGAAGTTGGCATTTGTGGTTTCCACCGACCACAGCTCACCGTCAGACTCTGTGGCTGTAGAATGAGATTACCACTGTGAGTGAGCACAGGGGAGAGGCATCTGTGTGTTAGCTAAGAGTGGAGTAAACTGCAAAAAGTCCAAAAGTACTGTATGTTCTAAGAACCCTTGATGGGTTTCAGATCAATTTAATCTTTTTATTATGTGTTAGTCTGATTGAAGTAAGTTAACTGCTGGATTCTGACAAAAAAAAAATCCAAAATGTGAAACAAAAGATGAACAGAAACCTCATGAGAACAATGGTTGCAGTTCTGAATATACATGCTGAATAAACAATAACAAACAAAAGAATGAACCATTAGTCATGTAAAAAACAACTCAGAATCCTGGAGTTATTTTGCTGACAGAGTTGACACCAAAGAGTTTATGGCGACATGTTAAACTAAGATCTTTAAGTGCTGAGAACACGTCAGGCTCTGTCACCAACACACTAAAGATTTAGTATCTGTAAAAACAGACTGAGTTGTATTTGTTTTTATCATCTTTAAAGGTTAGTGAGTTGGCTGGAAATGTTTTGTACATTCAATGATTTCACTAAAATTTGTCCAGTGGTTCATGAGAGTAACCAGACCTTACAAAGACACTCTGTAAAAAATGAAATGTTGGATTTACTTAACCATGTTATGTAACCTGGTTCCACTTAACTGAGTTGAGTAAATTCAAAGCAATATACCAGTTTTTTAACCAAGGAACATGAGCATGTTGTTTTGAATTTACTCAACTCAGTTAAGTGGAACCAGGTCACATAACATGGTTAAGTAAATCCAACATTTAATTTTTAGAGTGCAGGAGAAAAAAATACTATCATCTATCTTCATCTTTTTTTTTTCTTCTGGATGGCCTCCCTTCTCCCCTTATAGCCATCCTCTCCACACCATTATTATGATTTTTTTTATAATAGAAGAAAAAGAAGGAGAAAGAAAAAAGTGAAATGTAATGAGAAAGAGTGACAGAGAGAAAAACAGAGAGAGAAGTAATTAGAAAGATAGAAAGACTGAAATAGAGATTACAAGTATATTAAATATACACCAACAAAACACAGGACCACACACCCAACATCTGTCCGCTCACCTGAAAACTAAATGGATAAATACATAGAGGGCATATATAAAAATATACACATACCCATACATATATAAAGATATACATACATACATGCCTACATTCATAAATATTGTCCGTATATACACACTGACATATATATACACACACAGTGACCAGTCAGAACCCCCCGGATCAGAGCACCTGTTTGTGAGCAGTTGTGAACATGCGTGTATATACAAGATCTAACTTCATCTTTAGCAGAGGCAGTAATGAAGGTGCAACATGGACATTTCCGTTGTGAGGTGCATTTTACCCCCCTTATTCCCACAGCTGTTCTGAGTTTATACTGAACAGGTAAATATCACATTAGCAGCACACTAAAGCCTCTTTCAGTCAGTCCGGGACCGACACGTCTTCTCCCCGCTTCTGTTCATTCAGAAGATACACGTCAGCGGAGAGTGGGGAAACACCATACTTCTATATCACCTCTTTATATCCCAGTGAGGTAGTAACTGAGGTCCTGTCAGTTTCTGAAGAGGTGGGCTGGCTTTACTGGCTCCAACTGATCCGAATGTGACAAAATGCTGACGTACGCTTTTGAAGACCACCTAGCCATGGGATTTAAAAGTCAAAACACCATAGATTTTCAGATGTGAACTTTTCACTTTTTGCTTTCTTAAACGAGCAGTTTTTTTTTAACCCTTGCATTCAAAATGGCCAACTGAGACCCACAAGGAAATGAATACCAACTTCACCAGCACGGTGAAGGATGGTGTGCTTTTGGAGAGACTTGCGGAAAGTATGCAGGAGCACGAATACAGCCGTTGGTGTGCCTTGTCTTCAAAAATGCTATGATGAAGATGTCTGTCCCACATATACTGTGTGGAGTAACATGTCAGAGCAGCAGAGGGTTTTTTCATGCCTATTTTGATTCCACACCACTGGCTGGACGGAGTGTGGGAAGGGAGCGGCTCCATCGGTGACTTATGAACTGCCAGAGGGAGCTAAAAGACAGAATGCGCTCTGCGGCCATTTCGCGGAACTGTCTTCTGAAAGTCTTGAGTGTGCAGGTCTGCTCTAACAGAGCTGTTGTGCTGCTGAAGCTTTCACAGTAGAATATAAATATAAACATCAAATATAAAATAAATGACTGAAAATTACTGTACTTGAAACCCACCCAATCACTCCTTATAGCCTGTTTTCATATGTACCATTGACAAGTCAGACAGCACAAAGTCCTCTGATTAAACCTGGACTTTCTTCATCCTCCAGGACCTAACTCTAAAACATGGCTGGAGGACGGGCGCCATCATCCCTGAGCTGAGGAAAGAGATCAAGATCATGAACACTCCGCAGTACGTGCACATGATGACCTGGTTACTGGCACTAACTGGACTCATTGAACAGATGCAGGTCAGAAGATGTCATCCAACATCTGGCATAATCTTCTTACTTATCATTGCTATATATATACAGTATCTTCTTTTTATGCGGACATCTTTGTGCTTAAACTGCAATGTGTTGCATTTGAACAGGTGCACAGGGATCCCGCAGCTCAAGCTGTCGTTGAGGAGTGGAACAGAGAAAGGGAATCCATGAAGTAATGACGCCAACACTCTTGTGCATTGAAAAGCACTTTGTCGAGGTTTTTTTTAGCTCCTGTAAATTTGATATATATGTGTGTTTTGTGTGTTTTCATGACAGGCCGCTGTCAAAGGACATCTTCAACCCTCAGTTCGGGAGCCTCTTTCGCACGTGCCACAACCCCACCTACTTCTCTCGCCGACTCTCCCGCTTCGCCGACATCTACATGGCCTCCATCAGCTGCCTGCTCAACTACGACCTGCAGCACACCTTTTTCCCTCGCCTCACTCCTCTGCAGCACGAGGCTGGGTTGGAGGTTTCTCTTCCTGCTCCACAAAATAAGAACGGAGTCTGAAGAGTTGAGGAAGTACGGACGGAGCAATATGCATTTTTATTTTGATTTTAAAAAAAAGAACTTCAAATGAGTAAATTATTTATGTGTCCTTTCAACGAACTAAGTCTCAAGAGAGGACCACTTGTCATAGTGCTTTGTAAGTCAAATATGTGTGTGTGCGTGCATGTGTGTGTGTGTGTTGTGAACTGTGCAGGAGGTAGATTTATTTAAGTTCAGCTGCATTTTACACTTTTCAAACAGTAGGGGGCAGTCACACACCAGTTTTAGTATCTATTTATTTATTTTTACTATTTCTGCTGGTGCAGAGGGAATTTTACATCTACACTTCAAATCCATTGCCTTAATCTGTTCACATCACTGCAGGGTATATATTTTTCTAATAGGCTGCTGTGATTTGCATCCTAATTTTGCGCCTTACATTGACACATTGCACAATGAGCTCTAATTATTGTTTTTGCCATTTTCACACCAGTCAGCCTTTATGTTTGCAGCTGCAAGTCTGTTATATTTATTTGGAAAAACAGAGCCTCGTTACTTTATTTTGTTGGATTTTGCTGTTTGATCTGCTAAAGAAGCTTCGTCCTGTAGAGGTTTACACAGTTTTGAAAAGAGCTGGTGGAATGTTTTTTACACATAGAGGTAAGGTTTATGAACGATACATTCAAAAAAAGAGTCTCAAAATACAGCATCTATTTGTTTCTGCTCTTGGAAATTTGTCAGTGAGTAGTTTTTGTTGCATTTTATTATTAAAATATATCTTGATCCTCTTTTTGTGCCATTATTATTTAAAGAAGCCCTAAATTATGTGGCCTATTAGTTACTGTAAATACCACTTTATTGGTATATTTTGATTTGTAAGTGTTTTTTAACTTGGTCAATAACCTTTAGAAATTTTTAGAAAATTACCAAAAAAAAACTTTGTTCAAGCTCAACTTTCAAATTACAGCCATGGGTTCATTGGGTTTAATCCCCACAAATTGTGTTATCGACCACTTTCTTTTATTGTTCTTGAGGCTAAATATCAGACGGGTGCACGGTCTGTGAATCTGGACAAAACGGAAATCCTTCAGGGATCAGAAATGATAAGGTCTCTGACGCCATCCTCTGAACTGATCTCGGGGGTTTCACACTGTTTACTTGAAGCTGGTGCTTCTGAGCACCATGGGATCAGGATGTTGTGGAGCTCCAGTTCTTCCTCAGCATTAGTCCACATTAACGTGATCACAGCTGTGCCCTCCACAGGTGGGCTGCTGCATCCTTTCCTCATATTGCATCAACACAGTTGCAGGTTTCCAACAACAATCTCGTTCACATCTTGACGTTGAGGAATCGGTCTCTCTTTCAGCCTGGCCGTCTCTGACCTCATGACAGCTCGTCATCACTATCAACCTCTTATGCAGCCTGTGTGTTTCAAGGATCATGTTAAAGCATACTTGATTTTTTTTTCTTGCTCAGATCTGGTGTCGTCCTTCACTGTCTTCTTTGCCCACAAGTGGTACAACAACCCATTTTCAGCAGAGCATGAGGAGAAGCATGACGTGGCTGCTCTTTAGGTCATCTGTTGGCTTTGGACTGTAACGCCATTAATTGTCTGGAGCTCCTGTGGGCCTGAAGGGGTGCAGACATCCTGCTCTCTGGTGTGGAAGGAAAAGTTATGGAGCAACTGCTGTGAGCTCAACCTCTACAAACTCCTTTCATCCTCCGATAGTAGTTGCAGTCATTACTTAATGCTGTGTCAAAGTGCTGAAAACCCTGAGTAAGTTGAGCTTGTTTTTTAAACCCTCCACTTGTATCTACTTTTTGCTAACAACTTTTGTCAAAAATGACTATCCTAATTTGTTACCAGTGTCCTGATCCAAGATATAGGGTTTTGGTTTGTTTTGTCATTGTGTTGCTACAGAATAAGTAAGGACCTAAAAGACCTTTATACACCACAGCTGGAAGAAATAAAGAAAAAAGGTATATGATTTAGACTATTTTGTGATTGTGAGAATTCCAACAGGTAAAGTTCCCACGGGGGAAAGGTTCTGTTAGGGACAACTTCCTAGCTTGTTGCCATCAAAACTAAAAACGGGGAGCATAACGTGTGTGTATCCACTCAAAAACAAATGCATATTGGTTTAATTGGGAAGGAAATTATGTCCATCTGTTCAACAGGGGTTGCACCAAGTGAGAAACAACGGGGGGACATGCACCCCATAATTTTTTCTGCCACCCCCACTGGTTAGACAGTCATTAATGTACAATGTCCCAAAATATCCAGTGAGCCTCTGAGTGAATTGTAATAAAACTCCCAAAAAGCAGTGACTGAATGTATATCTATAGCTGATAAACTTTTGGTATGAACCCAATTCAGTACCAGCCATAGCCAATAGAAACCTGGCTTTAACTCAGTTTTACAGATGGTGAGTCATATGCCAATGTTATAGTGTGCAGAACATTAATTGTACAGAAGAAAAAAAAACTAAACAACACAAAGTAGGCTTGTATCAGAAGCTGATCCCTAACTCTCATATCACAATATTTTTTATTACCAATATAGCAAGAACAGAGCAAAAAATGATGATACATCTTGTTGTGAGATCCCAAGAATAAGAGTAGCCCTCATTTAAAATCATTCTAGATGTGACCCTTTGATTTCACTACTAATGTCTCACACATTCAATGCTGATGATTGTTTACTGTCAACTGGACACACAAAGAATGCAATAAAATACAATAAAAATACACACAAAACTTTTCCAAAAAATATCCAAATGAATTAAATATGTTTTTGTGTGAGCAAAGACAAAAACTCTTCATATTAGGGATGTGCAGATGAAATATTGATATCAGCAATACCAGAACTTTATGCTCTAATATAG